AAACAAACAAACAAACAAACAAGCAAAAAAGTGCCCCCCCACACACACACCTAGGGAATCTAATTCAGCTTTCTTATGGCTCAGCAGGTTTGCTTTCAGGAATGTTAGTTTGTTTTTTTTTGTTGTTTTTTTTTTGGTTTTTCGAGACAGGGTTTCTCTTTATAGCCCGGGCTGTCCTGGAACTCGCTCTCTGTAGACCAGGCTGTCCTCGAACTCAGAAATCCGCCTGCCTCTGCCTCCCAAGTGCTGGGATCAAAGGCGTGCACCACCACCGCCTGGCAGGAATGTTAGCTTTTGACATACCTGTAACCTTACTGACACTATCCATTCTGTGCAATGGAAGGTGTGTCTTTACCTAGAAAAAGAATTCAAAAGTTAGGAAAAATATTCAATTATTTTACTTAAAATTGTTATATTTCATTAATTACACCTTATTTAAAGATGAATCATTCTAGGCAAAAACTTTCTAGAAACCCTGTAACAAAGATACTAAAACTTCTAGAATGCCCTTGGAGTTTACTGTTCTCTCTCACTCCCGACCTCTTTCCTGTCTCTGTCCTGACCCTTTCCTGGCCACAATCATAACTGATGCATTTTACTTCATAACAGATGAAGTGGACCATATGTACTGCAGTTTGAGAAACACTATTCAGGATTCTAAGTTCCTTGAGGGCAGTGACTGTGTCATCTTCATCTTTCCAGACCCTGGCACTCTTCCTGGCTCCTAGTGACTTCTGAGTAGATGTTTTCTGAATGAATAGGCCTCAGTTAAAACAGATCGGAGCCTCTGGGATTCCGGAAGGGCCAAGAGAGGTAAATCATTTATCACAGGCTTCCCAAGAGCTCCTGCCATCCTCCAAACACTGGAACCATTGTGGATAGTCCTGCCTTCCTTCTCCAACCCCCAGCTTCCAGGACAGAGGGCAGAAGGTGTAATGGAGTTCAGAAATTTCCCAAGGCAAAGACATACTCATCAGGTTCTCTGGTGGGTGTTTGTAAAAAGACAAATGAGTTTTAGAAAGAATGGTAGAAGAAAAACAAGGTTCTCAAAAGAGCCTTTATTTCATCTCTTCCATATAAACTTAGTCCTCGTGCCTGATTCCTCCTGCACCTTCTAACACTACTATTCTGCTGGTTTTAGCCCATCTGTTAGACCCCAACAAGTTCTGATTTTTTTCAAACACATAAATCTTCATTAGACTATGCCCATGCCAGAATTTTTTCATTTGGATGAAAAAAAAATCCCCCAGCTCACCCCCACCCTCACCCCCAAACCGTGTGGCTTGTTTCCTGTCCAACTGGCTTGCTGCTCCTTGGGGTTTTATTCCCATCATCAAAGAGGCTTGACAGACCAAGAACAAACCTCCAGCTCACCCTGAACTCACATATACTATGTCCAAGTCAGAGTGAGTGAGAAAGAAAGAAAAAAGTATTTTCCTGACTGAGAAGCCAGGTCAGAGAAAACCCGACTCTCTGACTCTACATGGACCTGTTATGTGGCTTTTCTGGAGGTTGGGACCATGAGCGGTGGGCTGAAGCCAGAATTACTCTCTGAGATCGTCAGAACCAGCATGGACTATGTTGTGACCACAAGTCTCTGTTCATGGCATCTGAAGTGGCAGTGTGTTAAGGAGCCTCCATAATTTTGATTGCAACAGGCTGGCCCAGAGCCTCACAGTCATGGAGAAGCCAGAATGATCTGTCTCTCCAGTGTCTCAGGAAGCCAGCACATTGGGCAGCCAGTGTATCCTTAGTAAATATGCCAGGGATTTGGTTCATTTAGGAATATTTAAAAGGATGTTAGCTGCTGCATGCAGCACTTGGGAAGCCCAAGCAGAAGAATCACTACAAGTTCAGAGCCAGCCTGGGCTTCGTACTGAACCTTGACTTTAAAAAAATAAAATAAAATAAATCAGCAGGTTTTACAGTGGAATGGATCTATCTATATTTGGGAGGTGGATGCAGGAGAATCAGGAGTTCAAAGACATTCTCTGATACATAAGAGGTTCAAGGCCAGCCTGGGCTATAAGATACCCTATCAATAATAATAATAATAATAATAATAATAATAATAATAGACATTAACTTAACTAAAAATATCATTTTAAAACCTATTATTCACTGAGTTTTAAAAGCAAACCAGTTTACTACAAGCTTGTCCATTAAACACTGAGGCAAGAGGCTGACTGCAATGGCACATAGTATGTGGCAGCAATAACTTAGGACATTGAAGTCACCCATTTGAAGCAACGCATTCGCTTTCCCACACATGCCAGGTTCTTCATGATCCAACAGATCCCCTTCCACATCTGTTGTCATATCTCAAAGTGCCCTCTGGCCAACTTGTTCATCTGAATTCTTCCCATCTTCCCCTGCCCACGCTCATTTATGAGGACTGAGACTGAAGCTCAGTGGTCGGGCACTTGCCTCTCATGCTTGACATCCTAGGTTCAATCCTCAGTACCACTACAAAAGACAAGACAGAATAAAACAACAGCATGTACTGGCATTCTTATAGGCAATGGCCATTTCTCCTGTCCACTCTGATATGTTTTCCTCTTCATTCCTTGGGTCTTATCTCAGGGTCTCTGTTGTCCCTGTGTAACTAGGCAGACTTCTCAGAGGCCTAATGACATTCTTTCTGTCTCTTCTCCCCAAACCTAGCACAGAGTCCCTGGGTTTTCTGTCCAAGGCTGGCTGCCTATCTTCTGACTTTGTTCCCTGAGTAGTCTTTTGGCAAGATGGCCCCAGCTGTTAAACACTGATAAGACTGTGAAAGGAAGGAAGTGTGTCTGAGACACTGGAGGGAAACAAGATAAAGGCAAAGATGGGCAAGATTGGGAAAGAAAGACAAGGGTCTGGGGTGGTGCTTGGTTACGTGGTAGAGCGCTTGCCTCCCAAGTGTAAGGATCTGAATTCAGACCCTAGAACCCTTGTAAAAGCCAGGTGTGGCCGGGAGTAGGCATGGCAGGGAGTACATGTAACCCCAGTGTTGTGGAAGCAGAGACAGAAGGATCCCTGTGATCTGCTGGCCAGATGGTCTAGCCCAGGTTCAGTGAATACCCAGTCTCAAAACACGTTAGAGAGCCAAAGGGATGGCTCAGGGGTGAAGATTATTACAGGAGCCTGGTGACCAGTGTTTATTTCCCAGAACCCACACAGGGGAAAGGAAGAAAAACCAAACAACAACAAAACAAACAAACAAAAAAACCTCTGCACAGCACACACATGAGCAACACACACATAATAATTTTTTTTTTTTAATGATAATAAGGGGAACCGGAGAGATGGCTGAGGGGAAAAAGGCACTTGCTGCCAAGGCTGATGGCCTGAGTTAGATGTCTGGAACCCAAATAGTGGAAGGAGAGAGACAAATTATATCTGATCACCCCCATATCACAAAGACACAATACTTATACACTGAAAATGAAAGTAGAGAAGTAGTTGAGAAAGATGCCTGGCAACAATCTTTTCTGCACATACAGGGAGATTACAGGTGTACAGCACCATACACGGTGATGGTGCTTTTTCAGGTTAGAGTCTGCCAGCTGAAAGATGTGTGCAGTTCAGGGTGACGGGGAAGCAGACTGTAGGGAACCAGTGGAAGTGCACATGTATAGTGATGGGAAGGTCAGGTTCAGACCCCACCAGACACAGCACTGTGCCGTCCTGAGTCCTAGGTTAGAAGTAGAGGATAGGGTGAAGCCCTCCTGAGATGTCACTACCTGCCAGGCCGTGGATGACATTTCCAGTTCACTCTGACACCTCAATTCCCTAGTGATTCACAGGGAGACAGTAAGGTCAGTGCTGTTATAGAGCTGCAGTCTGCTCAGGTCACAGAGATAACAAGTGGCAAAAGCTATGTATCAGACTGCACTTTGCTTACTGATTTAAATCTGGACCTATGTAGTCTCAGTCTAAACTGGGACTCAGAGCCAGGGCTCCTCAAGCACTGTTCTAAATTGAAAATCTAAGCTGCTTATCTATGGATCTGCCTTACAGGTCCAAGGTCCAAGCTAGTCATTGAAAAAAGAAATCTCATCTATTAGAAGGACCCCAGTTTCAGTGTGTGTTGAGCTGTTGTTGCTCAGTGACTGTTTTCAGTTGGTAGGTGTTGGTTAAATACCTGACTTCATAACCAGTGACTGCAATTACCCCATTTTTTTTTCCAGCTAAGAAGAAAATACTACATCTTCATAACACTTTCTCCCTGTTTTCAAATCAGTAGGATAGACATTTGAAGTCTATGGAGCATGGCAGGGCAGAGTTTTGTCTGCTTGGTCCTCACACAGACTGTGGTGATTGGAGTAAAATGGCCCCTAGGCTCTTACATTTGAACGCCTAGTCATTTGAGAAGGATTAGAACTGTTAGGAGACATGGCTTTGTTGAAGTAGCTGTGAAGTGGGTGTTGGAAAAAGTGTGTCACTGGGGGTGGGCTTTGAGGTTTTAAAAGCCCACACAGGGCTCAGATCTGGATGTAAAGGTCTCATACACTATGCTTGAGTGCTTCCATGATTCCTGCCATGACCATAGTGGACTAATTCTCAGAAACTGTAAGCAAGCCTCCAATTAAGTTCTTTCTTTGTGGGCTGGAGAGATGGCTTAGCGTTAAGAGCACTGCCTGCTTTTCCAGAGGTCCTGAGTTCAATTCCCAGCACCTACATGGTGGCTCACAGCCATCTGTAATGGGATCTGATGCACTCTTCTGATGTCTATGAAAAAAGTGACAGTGACATAAAAATAAATCTTTAAAAAAAATGTTTTCTAAGAGTTGCTTGGTCTTGGTGTCTCTTCACAGCAATGGAAAAGTGACTAAGACACAGACCTAGCGTCTGTCAGAGGCTCACGGACTCAATTTTGTTACAGATTGCTGATTTCTTCTACCCACAGCAGTCCACCATTGTTTAATGTAATATAGCTTCCTAATTAGACACCTAGTAGAAAACACCATTTTCTCTTTCCCAAGGCCATTTAGTCTCTCTGTTCTTTACTCTTCTAGGCAGAACCCATGCTTGGTGACCAGAGCTGTGTATATTGATATTCTCTTCCTGCTGACTAACTGTCTGGACAGACCTGAGGAAGGCAAGCAGACAGGTATGACTGGCAGTTCTACCTTGGAACACTGCAGGTAGAGTTTGAGCCAGCACTACAACACACTTACCTACAGCTAAGTGGCCAACAGAATCTATGTGGCTCTTTCCTAGAAGTCTCAAGGAAATCTGCCCTTGTTTGCTTGGAATTTTACCATCAAATATGTTCTATTTGGTCATAAAGAATGTGACCTCAACTCAGATACCCTCTGTGTTCTCAAGACCTTGGCCTTTTGCTAGTCTATGCTTTTCTTCAAAAATGTCATCATTTTCTGAAATGGTTCATCTTATTCCATCCTATAGAGCTAGCTGAACTGGCTCATTTATTGGTGGATATTTGAGTTCCTGTTCTCAATCTACCTTCCACCAGTTTATGTAAGAGTTCCTCAGGCTCTGACTTCATACATGTCTCTAGGCCATGTGTGTATCTGATTATAGATCCACATATAATTGTTCTATATGGTTTGCAAAGTGAATTAAAGAGAGAAGGGCATTTCAAATAAAAATAATTTGATATGTTCATGTAAGAGCCTCAGGAAGTACAGTACATGAGTTCCAGGCCACAGACTGAAGTGGATTTTCACCCATTCAAACTAGAATGCAGGATAGTTGGCCTGCAACTGGCTAAAGCCTCTCCTAGCTGATTAGGCCTGTCTAAGGAGGCTGCACTGTAAAGTCAGGTTCTGAGACTAGCAGGCCAGGCCTTCTCTCACTTGCATTTAGCTTGATCATGAGTCGTTACCTTCAGTAAATATGTTCAGGTTGTCAAAGTCCAGCTCTGTCTATATGGAGCTCTGTTCCCAAATTCAAACCAATTTAAAGTATTTTGTGGGAAAGATGTTGAAATGCCTCACCTAGATTAATGTGTATTATTAGCCCACAAAGCCCCTGTGGCCATGCAGAAGTAATCAGAACACATAATCCTCTCCACATCCAGTAGTATAAGATCATGTTGCTTTATGGGAAACATATCCTGGTTTAACCAGGCATTGTGTCCCAGACATGTAATCTCAGCACTGGAGAGGTAGAAACAGGAAGATCAGGAGTTCAAGGCTATCCTCAGCTATTCATTGAGTTCTAAGCCAACCTAGATCACATCCTGTCTTGAAAAACAAAACAAAAAAAACCCCTATTATCCTAACTTGTACATTTCATCTCAACATAGTTATGAGTGTTGTCCCACCTATATTCTTGAAACTATCCAGGTCTGTATAATAAAAATATATGTTATTCTAGCTGTAAGGAACCTCTGTGTGGCACCCACTTTAGTTTACACTTGCGTTAACTGGGGTCCAGAGATTATAGAAAGAACAGAAATCGGATGCTAACAAATGAGCTTTTCTAGACTTTTACCTTCTGTATCTTCTCCCCAAATTCCATATTGCTATCTGCAGATGTGTCTGACAGGTCTGCTTACTAACCTCTTCACTAGGACCCGGCAGAGTTGGATGTTTGACTGAAGTTGTTGGTCAGTGGGTTCTATTCATATGGAACCCTGTTTCCAAACTCAAGCCACCTTAAAATGCTCTGCAGGGGCCAAGAGCATATTAAAGCACCTCCCCCAGATGTGCATTGTGTTCAGTCTGGTACAAAAGCATCAGTCCTCGGATGTTATAATGTACCTTTGCTTTTCCAACTTCTTTCTCATCCTTTGTTTATGAACTCCGTGAAGATGGCGTTGGGGACTTTTAACTCATTCTACCCTCCAAATTTTTACCATCAATAAGAGCAGATGCCCCTGTTAAATGTTACCTCACACTGTCTTCAGTAACTCACTGGTGTGTCTCACTTGCACAGGTCACTCTTCTTAGTATCCTTTATGGAGTAAGACTTGGTGGGAACACATCATTCTTCTCTTTCTCTAGTGTGACAGCCATAGCTCTACATGTATTGTACTTGCACTGCCCAGTGAGGCAGAAACTAACTCAGGTGCCATGTGAACATTTGACGTATATAGCTGCTCTAAATTGAGATGTTCTTTAGGTATAAAATGTACAGCAAACTTAAGAGAATTCCAGCAGTAGGGAGGCTAAGACAAATTTAAGGGCAGTCTGGGCTACGTATCACAACACTGTCTATGAAATACTAAAAGAGAAGGGATGGTAAATGACTCGGAGAGGATAGGTGCTTGCCACCAACCCTGGCAACCTACGACTGACCCCCAGAGCCCACCCTCCGGAAGTTGTCTTCTGACCTTCATAAACTTGTGGCACACTCATGCCCACACACATACACAAGTAAGTAAGTGAAATAGAGTTCAAATGTTAAAACAAGAATTTTTCCAAAAATTTTTATGCTGATGATTTGTTGGAAAGGTAATATTTTGACATCATTACATTAATTTTTAATTGAGTCATTTACCAGCCCTTCTTTTTTAAGACAGTGTTGTGATATGTAGCACAGGCTGGCCTTAAATTAAAAATTAATTAATTAGTTAATTAATTTTTAAATTAAATATTAAAACTAATTTCATGAGTTTCTTCCACTTCTTAGTCAGAATGTAAGGAGTTCTGGGTATAGCCTAGTGACACATTACATACCCAGCATGTACAAAGGCCCTGAGCTCAGTCCTAGTAACCACAAAACAATTAGGATGCAAGTACTAAGCCAAGTGTAATGACTCACAGCTATCATCGAATATCTAGGAAACCAAAACTGGAGAGTTGCTGTGGTTTAAGGCCAGCCCAGTCTACATAGCAAGTTCTAGGCCAGCCAAGGCTGTATGGTAAGACCTTGTCTCAAAAGAAAAAAAGAAAAAAAATGTTTTTACTACTAAAATAGGAAAGGAGGGAGGTAAGAAAGAAAAACAAAGCTGTCACTTAATGCATGTGCTTATCTTTATGGAGCATTGTGAAGAGGGAAAGGCTGGAGTCGAAAGTCTTAAATTCCATATATAGGTCACAAAAGACATGATGTCTGTGTATATGACACACCTATACTTGTGTGTGTGTGTGTGTGTGTGTGTGTGTGTGTGTGTGAATGCTGTATTCATAGAATATACTCATGTAACTGTAATAGTAAATTTCCCTCCTGGGTCTCTAGAACTAACCAAATATCAAACAAAACAGTGTTTAGAATGGATATCACTCTCTAGGGTAAAAGCACTAGCCTTGCAGTAGTGAAGTCTGCTTTTGTGTTCTGGATTGTTTCCAGCTCCAGCAGCATCTGAGCACCAGGTAAACCTGTCACCAAATAAATGGTTCCTTACTAGACTGTGCAGATTCAGTATGTTTCAGGATCCTATCATCATATCAGATTCCTCTTGTAAGCTTCCAAAGGGATGAACCATGGCTAGGGTTCTTTGTAGCCTAACTAAGCACTGTAATATAGTAGGCCTCGTGAAACGGATTGAAGTGCAGTATTCATTGATTTTTAAAATAGTTTATTTGTTGTCAGGATACAATCTTGCCAGGCGTAGTGGCGCACACCTGTAATCCTAGCACTTGGGAGGTAGAGGCAGGAGGATCATGAGTTCAAAGTCATCCTCAGTCATCCTACATAATATGTGTAAGGCCAACCTGAACTTCACAGACCTGTCTCAAGCCCTCCTCCCAAAAGGCACAGCCTTGCTTAATTTCATTCATCAGTCTGATGTGAATTAGTGTCCTAAATTCAAATATGTTATATTTATATGTGTATACATGATTATGACCATATATGTGTGTGCCTGTGGTATTATCTCACAAAACTCAGAAGTACGCCACATAGACTTTGAGGCCTGATCCCAGATTTGAATCCTACTTCTGCCCTTCTGCCTGTCTTCCTTCCTTCCTTCCTTCCTTCCTTCCTTCCTTCCTTCCTTCCTTCCT